TATATTTCTTTAGAATTTCTTTATTATTTTTTGAGATTATTTTATGAATATTTTATATTTTATTTTTTTATTTTATTAAAATTTCTTTTGAATTGGTTAAAATTTAATTAAAATTATTAAAAAATATTTAAAATTTAATTAAGATTCTATTAGACTTGATAGAAACTTATTGTTGTATTTTCTATTTACTTTCTATAGCTAGATACCTAATACATTCTCAAGCAAGAATTCATGTTATACAACAACGGCTTTGTAATAAGTTGGATTACTATAGGCTTGGACTATTTCCTATCTGTGAATAAATCAATCTAGTTGCTTATCAATTATATCTACCAAAGTCTATGAAGATCCATTTTATATTCCATGTGTCTCTTCTTGAGCCACATAAGATAATGAATATCTCAAAAACAAAACAAATGCCATTGCATCCTATTAAAGTGGATAATAAGCAAGAATTCAAGGTGAAATAAGTCTTAGAGTCAAGGTAGTACTAAAATATGTTGGAATTTCTTGTTAATTAGCATAGATATGATATTAGTGAATACACATGGGAGCTAGCAAAGAAAGTTGATGATATTCATCAACAAAATCCATCAAAATCAAGAGTAAGATGAATAAATATTTATTATAAAATAAATAAGATTTAAGAAAGATTGCATTCTACTTTCTATTTTATTTATAATTTTTATGTAATTATAGAACTAAAGAGATAAAAAAATCAATACCCAATAATTTCAACTGAAAAACTATTGTTTATTAAGTTGCCAAACAAGATATTGCAATTGTTACAACCTTCAAGATAACATAATTGTAATAAAGATCTTTAAGCATAACATGTTCTTTTATGAATAAATGGTGAAATATAATGTATTTGATATCACAACCTTAGAATAAACTCTCAATGCTTGGTGATTTTACTAAAAATAAGAACAACTCTTGATGGTTTTACTAAAGATAAGAACAAAAATTTAAATACAAGTTGTTTAAAAGAAGTTCTAAAGGCTTCAACAACAATTAAATAGAAGGATGGTCTTCCTACCTTAGAATGAGAAATTATTGATGGAAAAAAAAACCTATTAATTATATTTGAAAGGAACAAAGATTAGAGAATATAGCAAATAAATATTTTTGCATCTTGAACTTCATCAACATATAATCGACACTTCTTGTCAAATTTGTCCTTAAAAAGGAAGATAATGTCATAAATATATATATTTATTCTAATATTTATCTATATAATATGAATAGACAAAAGTAGATTAAAGTAGATAAATTTAGTAATATCTTATAAAAAAGCTACTTAAATGCTTAATAGATGTGGCTTTGAATTTACACATATTTTTAATTAATTGATAGGTTAAAAAATTGGCCAACAAATAAGCCACATTTTGCATGTATTGGTAGCTTATGGTACCTACTAACTTAATGGCATGCATGTACAAAACTTCCCTTATAAGTTAAGACATGTGACTTGCAAGTTGAACACATATTGGAAGTCCTATAGAATGTTGCATATAGTTCCTAGATAGATAGTATATACAAAGGCAAGAGTAAAGCCTTCTTCAGTCTTACCAATATCTTTTTAGTCCTTAATCTTATTTCAAGACATTCTAATTTTATTCTTGTAGGCAATAGCCATTTTAATATAATATTATACTATCTTTGAATAAATATTTAGTCTTTTTGAATGATAGAAGAGTGTATTGATCTTTTAGTTTTTTGACATTCATATTCTTGACAACTTAATATTAGTCCTTATCATGGTGGTATTATAAAATCTTTTAAAGATGAATATGCTAAGAGTGAATAGCATAATAAGTTATATGAAGAAATTATTTTCTACTAAAAAAAATAAAAATAAAAAAATAGGTACTTTTTAGAAAGTAAGGAGTCACTACAACAAAAAAGTGAAGACATCTTCAAATGCATCTTTGAGCACCTTTTAATACATCCACTAGCCTTATTTTAAATATTGTATGTACATTGCAAAGGATTTATACATAAAAAAAAATTATGGTTGGATTTTCAAAGTTAATATATGCATCCATTTATATTATCAATCTATCTAAGTCAAAAGAAGTACAAAAAGATATTTATATAAAATAATAAGCTATAGTAATTATAAATCTTTGAGTTAAACATACTTCAATTGTCAATTCTTATAATGTATTAAAAATAGCTTACAAACAACTTTGCTTATTGCTCTCTACTTAGACTATAAAATCTCTTGATTCTAATTTTGATAAATATAATTTAGTAAAAAAATATATTTAATTAATACTATTCTTGAGATATAGCTTTGTATTACTAAATTATACAGAAAAAATACTATTAGCTTCACTTACATAGTGTGAACCTTATTTTACAAATTAAATGAAGTTGAAGGCTATATAAAAGCCATCATTGAATCTATGAAGATATTTTATGCAAATGTAATTTTTAGCTAAGTCCAATTATAAGTGCTTATTATTATTTAAAATGATCATCCTAATTCAATATGGTGTTTTTTTATAGGCAAAGCATTATCTTTCTTAGTATCCATTTAAGACAAATCTACCTTTGTTGTAGTGTCTTTTTTACTAGTTTTTTTGTAAAATCATTATTTTATTGGAAACACAAAAACATATGGATGCATTATCTTTTGTTAATTAGAAAAAATAATAAAATATCAATTAAAATTTTTAAAATCTTATTTGAATTTATTAGATGCAATTGAGAACTATTTGAGTGATTGCACTAATAACATGGAGTATTGCAACTAAATTAAAACCATTGCCAATTAAAATAATTGTTTCAAAAAAACTCATCAAAATGGCATTGTAGAAGTGAAACAATTTAAGTCAAAAAGATTAATCATTTAAATTTACTTATTTAATTTTTCACTTAAATTATAAATTTTTATCTTTTTTATTAAATATGTAAAAATTTAGGTTATGAATTTGTAATCTAGAAACAAGCTTTGTTCTAACAAATATTATCAATCAAGTAAAAATAAATTACTTTGAAGAATAAAAATTATGCAAAGTACCTCTAAATAGAGATATATGCAAAAATAAGTACTTTAAAAATGAATTTTATAAATAAACACTTGTATGATGTTAATCATATGCATTGGGCAATAATAATAAAAAAAAGTATTAAAGTATTTGAAAGCATATAAGACTTTAAATTGTACCTTGATAGTATTAACAATAAATTATAAGATTCTTATAATTTTAACTGAAATACTAATTTAAGAATAAATAAATAAAATATATATTATATTATATATATTTATAATTTTATTTTAATAAGTAAATAAATTAATATTTTAAAATATAATTAATAAATTTCAAAACAATTTAAAATTTATATGCACTATAGTATATGAAGAGTATATAATAAAAATTAAATGAGTAATGGATGAAATTTGGCAATGTTACCACAAAAACAAAATTGGACGTTTATAAATAAAAGCAATATTGATTATACTTAACAACTAAATCTATATTTTATTTTTTAACATTATAAAAAATAATTATAAATAAAATATATTGATGTATAATATTATTTTTTATAAAAATATTAAATTAAATGTTAAATATTAAAAAAATATACTTATAATTAAAACACAATAAAAAACACAATAAAAATTAAGATAGATGGTGAATTTATAAAATTATTAATAAGACAATATTATAGATGAAAAAAGATATTAGAATTAAAAATCAATGAATATTTTTAAAATAATATTATTAAATATAATTTTAATAACTAAGTAATAAAAAATTATATCTAAAATCTAATATAAGAAATATTTTTTTAGTCAAAAGGTGATAAACTTAGTAGTAAGTAGAATTTAAATTACAAAAATTGCTTAAAACATGAAGGGATATAAAAAGATGATTTTAAAAATATCAATACTTTAAAATATCTTATAATAATTAAAATTTTATTTTTTTTGAATATTATATGTTTAAAAGATATTTTTAATACAAAAAATATGTGTATTATTTTAATTCTAAAATAATATCAAATTTTATATATAACTCAAAGAATGTATTTCATATTGTATCCAAAAAATGTATTAAAAAATAGTTTTAATCAAGAATATTAAATTTTCAAACTTTAATTTAATCTTATATATATATATATATATAAGAATAATAATAATAAAATTTAAAAATATAATTAATATTATTTATGCTTTTTTAATCATTCAAATTTTTTTTATAACTATAATTTTATTTTATTTTATTAATCCATAATATCACAAAGTTACTCCTTATACTAGTAATAGTTTTTCAACAATGTTTCCATAAATTTTGATATACGCCTGCAAAATACGAATCTAGTTTAACATAATATTTTTAAAAAACATAATATAATTGAAATTTATGAAAATTGAATCTAAGATTATTGATAACTACTAAAATATATCTATTGGCAACATGTTATTTGCAAAAATTAATGTATACAAAGTAAGAATGATTATGCCTTATTATGATCTTTATAAATAAATTAATATATTTTATAATATAAAAATCACCAATTTTTAGGTGAATATATATACATACATGGGAGGTGTTCATAAGATATCACTCTTCTGTTAACAAGACATTATTATTCATTTTCAATAAGAATAAAAATAAATAATAATAATAAATAAATAAATAAAAACCCATTTCATCCAAAGACCATATTCAAAAAGATCCCACATTCTCAACATGATGGTGTTGGAAGCCCCACCTCTTATACAACGTTTAAAGAATTTTTAGGCTGAAGCATACATGGTATAGAAGGACAACGTGCAAAAAATTAAAACAATTGTTTAGATAGAGAACTAAAAAGGGCTGACTACATTCGGAGTTGCCTATTAGGAGTTGCTAACCTGTCCGACGGAAGAGACGAGTTCCGTCAGGGGTTCCGTTCGGGCAGCCGCCTCGCTCTGCCCTACCCTGCCCTGCCCGGAGCTTACCGAGAAAATTGCTTTGAGGAGGGCTGGTGTGTGTGAGAGAGAGTATGCTTTGCGGAGTGTTATTCTGCTGCTTCTTCTTCTTCTGTAGCCCTGCACTTGCATCACTTTGTTTTATTTATTTTTTTATTTTTCTCGCGCAGTGTGGTGTGAACTCTACCATCGGGCATGCATCGTTGCCTTGCCGCGTCTTTGTGTGTTGCATTCTAGTCAGAATCGTCACGGCGGCACTCTTCCCGCCTACACCATGTCGGGCGGTTTTTTTCGGGTGCGTGTTTCTGTCTTCTCCTAGCACTGCCTTCCATTCTTTGGGGTTTTGAGTATCTTGCTGAGTAGCTCTACTTGGAGCTCTTTCTGTGCTGTAAACGCGTCATGAAGTAGTGTTTTTTTTTTAATTATTATTGGCTTGCTCGGTGTGCCGTGCCCACGTCTTGCTACCGGGACGCTCTTTCTGCTTGGGGCAGTTGTCACTTTCTATCTCTTGCTGCGTTGTAGAGTCATAGTAGTGCTGCGGATTTATGAGTGTGGTCTGGTCCTTGAGCAGGGAACGTCCGCGGATCAGGATACTCGTTTTTCTAATAAGATGAAAAAGTTGCTGAAGTCTCAGAAATTTGCGCCCGAGCTTGATGTCACGGTGAGTGCTAATTGTGGTCGCGCCTATTCAACCTAATTTTTTGTGGAATATCCATATTATATATTTTTTGGTTTTTAGTTTTGTTGTTGTTTTTGGTGTTTTTATAATGGAAAGACTGTTTTGTCCTCTGAATATTAGTATGCAACACAACCAGATATTGACCATTTACCTGGAATTTGTGTATCATTTTGTGTTTACAATTTTTGTTTTTGCGCGCAATGTTTGTCTACAGATCGACACCTCAAAGGTTCAAATGGATGTTATTAAACCCTGGGTAGCTACTCGAGTGACGGAACTACTTGGCTTTGAAGATGAAGTCTTAATTAATTTTATATATGGTATGCTCGAAGAAAAGGTGGGTGCACAATGTGAATCTTCTGACCTTCGTACTGTGAAGAGAGTTAATGCCACTTTATAGTTTAACAAGACAGATTTACACCCGTGAATGTCCGTACTGTTTTCATTTTGTACTCGTAAGCGCACAAAATTTGGTGGTAATACCCCTTGTTTTCATTTGTCGTGGTCCAGAATGTAGATGGAAAACATGTTCAGATTCAGCTTACAGGCTTCATGGAGAAAAATACGGGAAAATTCATGAAAGAGCTTTGGAGCTTGTTGATGAGCGCTCAGTCCAATGTCAGTGGTATTCCGCAGCAATTCTTGGATCAAAAGGCTGAAGAGACCCGCCTTAAAAAGGTAACATTCTTCTAATTTCTGATTATCTTACACTACTTTCCATGAGTGGGTGTTTCGAATCTGTTCTCTTGTTGCATCACTTCAGCTTGTTCATCAAAGGTGAAAACATAATCTGTATCATCCAGTTTTTACGTATTGCCTTCTTCAGTTTGAGGCAATAATTCTCGTCTTGTGCTTATCTGATCATTACGTGCTCACAGGCCGAATCTGAGCGCATTGCAGCCGAGCTTCAGCGCAAGAGGGATCTCGACAAAGTAGCTGAGGACGAGCGACAACGTGAAAAAGTGAGTCACTTCCCTCGTCGTATCCTTTTGACCCGTGCAATATGCGGATTATGTAGACTGTCGTAGTATTTACTGCTGGTACCTAATTCTCCATGGAAGTATACTTAGTATACCTTCTATTCCTTGTGGAACTACTAATTGTTTCTAAGCAAGTAGTGCGTGCTCACATCAACAGGACGCAGCAGCAGAGGCTGCAAAGAAAGTCAAGGAAGCTAATGGATTTGCTGACAAAGATCGGGTCCCTAAACATTCTGATGACATAAGATCGAGGCGGGGGAACGGGTTTGTGGCCTGATCTGATACGTTTGCTGAGTTCAACTTGAGACTTGAATTTTTATTCCACTGGATGATGTTAGCTGGAGTCTTCATTATTATGCAGAATATTATTTCTTTTTATTTATCCCGATTAGTGAGAGGGAAGAAGTTTATATTAATTATTCTAGTAGTTTCTGATTTCTCACACACGTATGTATTAGTCTGCAGAGTTCGGAAAGCGGCTTTTGGTTCTGGAGAAATATATTCAGCAGTACATTGAGGAGATTTTGGTCCAGTCTTGCTAAATTTAAGTTCAAGCTTCTATTCATTCCCGTTAAAGTGATGTGTAAAAGAGGATGCTTGTGCATTTATATATTGAGTTTTGATGAAATTTGTGTTACATTTGCAGACAATTTAGAAGGTCGGTTAGCAAAGTTCGATCTTCACCCGGCCGGTACAGTCCACCCCTGTCAGCTTCATTGGGTCCTGTATCTATGCGGAGTCGTTACTTCCATTTGTACATTCGGTGTAATGTAGATATCCATAAATATGTCCCACTTCTGACGAAAATATTATGTCCTTTTGCTAATGTGCTGATGTTGTGTGCAGAGATTCTAGACGGCGCCAACGTTCCAAGCAATCATCAGATTCTAGTTTGTCCAGGTATTCTCGAAGTGTTTCTCGATCACCTCGGCGACGTCGGAGATCTTTTTCACCTGGTCGACCGTCTCGTGTCTCAAGGGTTGTACGTTCCCCCGTGAGACGGAACTACTCACGATCACCGATTCGTAGAAGAAAGTCTCCACCTGCACATAGGTCTCCTGTGAGGCGTCGTTACGCTTCACGGTCTCCACCCGCACGAAGGTCTTCAAGTTATTCCCTTTCCCCAGCGCCACGAAGCCGTGCCAGGTTACTATTTGAAATGCCCATGCATGAACGAAGTACAGTTCAAATAACGATTGTCTTTCTTACGTGTTATTTGTTTGATCACACTAGAAGTGTGATGCTCCGTTCTAAAATCTGGATATCTGATTTTCAGGAGTCCTCGTCGTAGAAACGGGGGGCATCTTAGGAGAGAGTTTCGGAGCCCTGAGAGGTCAGTCTCTTGCGATTGACCATCGCACTTTTCTCCATATCCATGGTTGGCTGAGTTCTTGTGCTATATTGGTCATTTGGGCAATCACCCTTGTTTATTTTAGTTTCAGAACAATATCACAACATACGCACCATGATCTCACCGTCACCTTGTTCTATCTTCAGAGTGGATCGGCCTGGCGGGAGGGAAAGACGTTTAAGCAGTTCTCCAGGTTTCCGAGGACCAGAACCTCATCAAATTCCACCCGTAGCTCTCCGTCGACCTACTGGTTTTGGAGATAGAGCGACTCCTCCAGACGGTGATGACTGGAGAGCAGTGTCAGACAGAGATGGAATCGGCAGCACTGGAAATAAACGTGTGCTTGGTGACAAAGATGAGAAAATTGTCGGGGTAGTAGAGGCAAGTGAGGTTGCCAGTGATAAAAAAATGCACAGTGGCGTAGATGAGCGGAAGTCAGGATCTGACCGAGGTGTCAGGGAGAAAAAAGACAACTGGTCTCATAGTGGCTTGAATGAAGAAGAGGGAGAGTCTCGGAGAGGTGGTAGGGATGTAGACGGAGAGAAAAGGCTTTTTACTGATATGGAGGAGAGGAGAAGTGGGTATCACAGGTCTGACAAGAACACCAGAGAGCGGTGGGTCCATAACGATTCAAATGAGGGTCAGAAAGAGTCTCCCAGAGCCCGTACTGGTGTTCCTGGTGAAAAACGCCCTCACAGTGAAATTGAACGCAACACAGGTGTCGACAGGTCTGGAAGTGATAGTCGTGAGGTGGGCAGGTATTACGATGATAATGGGAAAAGCGTCCTGGATAGATTCAGAAAGGATGGTGGTAATGGAAAACGTGACATGGATTTTAGAAGGGAGGATCGTTACTTCACTGATCAGAGGGACAGACCTACTATGAGAGAGAGAAGTCCTCTACCAGACAGGCAACAGGTACGCAAAGAAACACGGGGGTCGAGGAAAGTTGTCGAAACGTTTCAGAGTCCCTCCAAAGAGAGGAAGAGCGAAGACTACGGGCGGCGATCTGTTGATTTCGATGACGATGACTCTGGTGTGGTCAGGGAAAACGTTTCAAAGAAGTCTAGAGTACAGAAGGCTGAAGACGATGGGTTTGCTAGAGACAATGATGAAGATAGCTTTTCACCAAGAGGAAGTGAAGAAAGACGTAAGGAGGAGAAACGGCGTAGGAAAGAAGAGAAAAGGCTCCGCCGAGAGGAAAGGCATAAACGGAAGAGAGAGGAGAAGCAGAAACGGAAAGACAAAAAACTTTCAATGAGTACTGGAGGTTTAAACGGGGAGGATAAAATAGATAATCATGAAGGAACGGAGCAGATTGAGGGAGAATATGATCAGAAACAGCGAGAGAATGAATTGCGGCACGCAGCGCTAGAGTCGCTGCGTGCCAAGAAGGCCATATCTCACTAATGCTCTTGTGATTGGAAGATTTTTTTACAGCAGTGATAAGGTGTATCATGTATGATTGGCCGACTGGAACTTGAGCTGTGAGATTCAGATATGAGGAACTTTTGATTTGTGGGTCGTGAATGTAGGTAGTATTAGTTGGGGTATAAAGGCTGAAATGCCTTTCTCTTGCTGGTTTATCTTACTGAATGTCCATGCTGGGCGGCAGGACCTTGGCCACATTCGGAACCTGATCAATCTGGAGAGGGCTTTAAATGTCGGAGAATTAAAAGTGGCACCGTTGCTGGTAATATTTGCTGGCTCTTGCACGCCGTTGATTTTTGTCTCAAGGACCATCAGACTTTGGTTTCTTTCTTATCACCTGTGTGACCTACTCACTGAAGACATTCATGTTTTTTTAAGTGCAGCTTGGATTGGATTCTGCAAGAACCTTCTCTTTTATTTCCAGACAGCCTCCCGCAGGACTCCTACAGTTGTCCTTTGACCTTTTCTGTTGGATGCTGGACTCGTTTGGTTCAGAATCACCTGAGACTTGACCCACGTGATGATGTGGTTAGTTTGCACGGCGCGTTGAATCTGGTAGTAATCACGACTGTTGTAGTGGATGCTTGTCATACTTTTCGCTCTGTTATTTAAGCATAAGTTGGTTTTTCTCTCGACACTCGGGGTTTTGCGCGTGTGTAGTGTCTAAAATCACCCTTGTACAATTATGATTCTAACACAGTTGGTTCTGCTGCTAGTCTTTCGACTCTTTTATGCTCACATATTTTAACATCTTGTATTTAGAATGCTTGTTTGTCTTCTGGTACTGTACAATGCAGTATTTGAAGTTTGCACACGTGTCAAATTTCGAATTAATTTAATGGTTACGGTTGTTGGATGATATTTCCTCTAGCTAGGCAGCAATTGTGTAATATTGCTGCCTAGTTAAGCAAAGCTTTGAGGTTAAGGTCACTTTTCTTCAGTGGGCTGGGGTGAGTTTGCACTTTTCTAGTACTCAATTTTGAAGTAAAGAACATGTGAGCACCTTGCCCATTTTGTGTTATACTATCTGTGGTTATGGTATTATGTGTCGCTTACATGTAGAATCTTGTTCTCAGTATGTTAATTTGAAGAAAAACGATTTGTATGAAAGTTTATCAGGTTCGTGCAAATCATTTTTTTTGTCGGAACATAAAGCTTCTTGCCGCTTACTTTGCCGAAAATGTGACTTTATTCATATTATATGGGGAAGGTAGAACGTAATTTTTCTTATTAAAGTTTGTTTGCATCTGATCTTGGATTTCATGACGGATTCTTCTATATATGAGACACTGAAAGATATTTGCTTCTTTGAAAGGAGGTAATCTTCATAAAGTTGTTCACTCGAGTTTCTCTTCTTCTGTTAGCACATCGATTGTCTCCTCTCGATGATTTAACAGGATTCGCTGAGTCGAAGATATATGCTGATAGCTAATCTCGAAATAAGATGTGCAGTACACTGCTCTGCATTAGATTCGAACTACTCTTGCAAGGAACGGAGATGAGTGGAGGCTTTCGAGCTTTACATTTGGTTCCATATTGTAAGAGTTTTGACGGAGGTTAGAGGACCTCAAACGAGGGATCTAAGGTAGGCGATCCATTCCTGACCACTTAAGCAATTTATCATATCTGCAGTATGGGTATGATAAATCAATAATTTTTCCTGTGCAGAGAAATAGAATTCAGGAAGATTCCAAGTTTTTTCACATCTCTTTGCCTAAAATCAAAATTACTATGAATTTCCTAGCTGAAGATTTTGTTTGTTGTAAACTTGTCATATAAGCTACTCTAATTCCAACCAATGCTTGATTCTAGTAATTGAGAATGCTTGATTCTAGTAATTGAGAATGCTTGATTCTAGTAATTGAGAATTGTGGCATCTAAATATGTTTTCAATCTACACCTCATATTGTGCTACCAAGGATGACAATATGTAGATGAGGCAGTCCAAATTCAAACCTCTGGTTGTAAATAATTAACTAGTTCAATGTGAAATTTTTGCAACAAGATTTCTCTATTTCTGGTCATTTCTGAATCCTAGTTTACTCATCTTCCATCTTCATTGAATATTTTTAATATATATATATATATATATATATATATATATATATATATTTTTTCCTTTTCCTCTTCCTCAAGCTATTTCTATTTTGGAAGTAGAAAGAATTGGATTGAGAATTTAACAAGAAGGTTTCTGTATAATGTAACATTTCTAATTTTATTAGTATAAAAACTAAAATTAAGAATTATAGACTAATAAGTATACAGTTTGAAACAATCCTAAAAGAGAGATTAATCAATAGAAAATTTGAAAGTAACATCAATCAACTTATTAAAAAAAAAAAAAAAAAAAAAAAAAAAAAAAAACTGCATGAAAGAATGGTCAAATTAGGGTAGTATGGGATAATATCAATTGTAGAGTAAGTGCAAGTATTTAGGAAAATCATCTTTAGAACAAAGTTTCTATCTATTTGAAGTGTTTTAATTTGACTTATTTGTTTGTTACTAGAAGTAAAAATATCACTGACATATTTTATTTATTAATTTTTTAAACATAATCAAATATATTTTATAAATTAAAATAAAAAGGTATTAAGATGAAATTATGTTTTATATAATACTAGCAAAAATTTGTGCTTTTTGAGAGTACAATCTATAGAACATTCATCCATTTTCTTGTTTATCCATGCTTCATTATTTCCATTATTCTTCTTTCCTATGTTCCTATGTTTTTCAGTTCTTATATTCTCCACATTTATTGAGTTTTTATATACAAAAATTATAGCATATCTTTTAGAATTAATCAAAAAATATATGTTTATGGTTTGGAGCTATTTACATCGATTTTTTATGTCAATGTTTCCAAGAATAATAGAACAATATGAAAAAATAACAAATATTTAAGGTATTTGTAGAGATATTTTAAAAAAATCTTAAATATATCAGAACTCTTAAGGTTTTAATGAAGAAAAATGACTTTTTTAATAAAAAACAATAAAAAAATTTATGCAAAAATATTGAATATGTTTCAAAGGTTTTTGAACATTTAATGACTTCCAAAAATAATGCATTAGAATTTGCATTATTATTAAGTAATTTATTTCTTATATTAAATAAATTTTAATTGCTAGTACATAATTAAAGAAAAAAAAATTGATGTGAAAAAAAATCTTTCAATTTTTTGAATGACAATCTTTGAATAATAAAGAAACTTTCAAAAAATAATTTAGAATTCGAAATGTTATTGTGATATTGACAATGATATGCTTTTAAATCAATATCTCAAGAAATTTGAAGCCAATAAATTTTCTCCTTTTAATATTGTAATATTTTATGAAATAAAAGGTGATATTTAGTTTTTGCATGTTTGGTTAATCCATGCCAATAAAAAAAAGAATTTTAAATATAATAGATTAACAAAGCATTTATCATTAAGGCTAGAAAACATATATTGTATAGAAGTTAAAAAATTGGATGCTTAAAAATAATAAATAGATATGAAAAGTCTTGAAAATATAAAATTTACAATTAAAAAAATGTATCTTAAGAACAAGTTTATAAACCAAAGTGATTAGTACTTTTGTGTGCAACTAAATAGATGGATATTGAATATATTGACTATTTTTTTTTTATCAAAGACATAAGAATTTTAGTCAATTTATATAATTATAATTTTATTAAATATTAATTTTTAATAAAAGATATTATCATTAAATATGGTGAATATTTTGTAATAGTAGTAAAAATAAACTACTTATATATTAAAATAGAATTAATGCAAATAAATTTAAATGATATGTTATTAAAAGAAGAGAAAGTATCTTAAATTTTTTTAATTGATATTAAATATCAAATTGTAAAAAAAACGTGTTATTTGAGTAATATATATATATATATATATATATTATGCATTATGATAAAAATTATGATAAATCTAATTTTATAAAGATATGAACAAAAATATTATTTTTAAGGTAGAGTAAGTTCTTTTTTTTTTGAAATATTATATGATTGGTGCATTGAGACAAATGGTAGTTGCAACTGCAACATGAGCCCAAACAACAACTAAGAATATAGGATCTACAATAAGGCACTAGAAACTTTGTTGGGCCATCCATGCAATTGTAGAGATTCTAATACTTATGTGTGATTGCTTTTATTATTTCGCCTTAGAGATATCAATTTTGTAGTAAGACATTCTTGGTCAACTTCAACATAAGATAGAGATACTAGTGTTAAAGATACAATACTTGCTTTGAATTATAAAGTATTGAATATGAATATGTTTTCTAATGTTGATTTGTTGGCTTTGGAATTTAAATCAATAGGAATTTTTCAACTAGTTGATAAATGTTAGAAGGCAAGGTACCTATGTCATCTTTATAGATAGTTCAAGCAGTCACAAAGCCTTCAACAAAGGTAGATTTAGCTAAGTTGCAAGCAAAGCTTGTAGTTGAAACTATTGCTATGTTTGATGAAGGTCACTTAAACGAAACAAACATAAATACCTCAAATGATAGGCCATTGGCTACAAAGATAGTATTTTTGTTTGATATTGCAACTAAACTTGCTTGAGAACATCAAAACTTGTGCCTAAGAGTTTTATGGTTAATTAATGATAAAAACATGCTTGTTGTTAGCCATATTTGTGGCAATACCATTCATGCCACATCTTTATATATTTTGATAGATTTTGGCACTTAATCAATTATGATTAATAAGAGGTTTGTTTAAAAATTATGACTTATTCCTTTGAACTTAGAACCTTCTCTTTTCACCATTGAGACTTTGATAGGAGGCAAGGAGCAAACTACCAACTATATCAAGCAGCCATTGCAATTGATATTTTTCATTAGATTTGGACGACCTTATTCACACTTATTTCTAAAGTATGTAATGACTACTGCTACAAACTATGATATTTTAGTTAATCAATAGGTACTTTATTCATTTGATTTTGGTCTAAATAATTGGACTAAAGAAGTATGGATTAAACTAAGGTGGTCTACTAGTGATAGAAGGAAAAAATTCATTCTAATTACATTTGTAATAATCTTTATGATTATGTTGGCAGAAATCTTATTTGATTGTAGTGCATTTGCATTTGACTTGCCTTATGGAGTGGTTCTATTAGAAGAATCATTAGCATTTATATCCAATTCTATAGAACCAAATATTCCACCATCTGTAAAAAATTATATAAGATACTAAAAAGATTCATCTCTTCTATGAAAAATACATATATAACTCTCCTACCAATGTTAAGAGATAATATCTTTATTAGATATCTTGAAGATACTAAATTCTTCTTTATTACCTACCTTTGCTCAACTTATTCATTAGCATCTATTAGATAAAATATTACTCTTGTCAAGCTCTTTGTAGGCATTAATACAAGTTTGGTAGCAATATTAAAGGCTAGGCTTATTGTTAGATAGTATATTCATGTGGATAATAGAATTGTACTTAACAAAATAACTCAACATTATCTCTAAAGGTTTTTGATTTTGTATCCTAAGTAATTATAACTTTCTACCATTCTTGGTTGTTTCAGCTAATTTTTTTGAGATCTCATCCTTATTAGCAATAAAGATTTGAAGAAATTAGATAATATTGACTTATTGATTGCTAAATAGCCATATCAATGTCATTTATATGCTGGAGTAGGTCGAGAGTTGAATGACTTTCAATTCAATTTATTTATGGATTTGATGCAACTTATATAATGGTGGTTTATGCAT